TCACCACTTTTTTTCATTTTAGCCTTTCCTTATGTCTTTTTTTAAATCATTTTATCTTTATCATTTCATCTTTTGCCTTTGTTGTTTCCTCATTTTCAAATTCAAAAAGTTTGTATTGCTTTTATTCCATAAAGCACTTTGTGTTATATTGTGTGTGTGAAAAAGCTATACATAAAAAAGTCTAATGGATTGGTTTGTTGGTTCATAGCTTGATTGAAACACCAGACAATTTACACAGCGCTTCATCGTATCTGTATCACACTTGTCTGATGTTATGTAACACAAATGAATTCCCCTGTCACCATGTGGTAAAACACACTCAACGGTCTCACAGGCCGCGGAATTAGACCTCATGTGCTTTACGTCCACTTCCTTCCTGCTCAATGATGAGGCTGTAGCAGCTTACGTTAGCCAGTTACCCTGAGAAGTGCTGCAGAGAAAAAACAAGAATCCTTTCTCAGAGCTGCAGGTGGTTAATAAAAGACATGGGGGGGGGGGCATCCCTTGTGGACACTGTCTTTTTGAATCGGCTCATCTGTATTCATCTTCGTCGCACCGATGCTGCATACCCTGTTGCTGCATCCCACATTTTAGAGAAGTCTCTCGAACTTATGACCCCATGCCCTTTCATGCTCTCACTCCACCCCCACTTGTCGTGTTGAAACACTGCCAGCAGAGGACGCTGCTGCTTTCAAACTACTACTAAAGAAGCTACTTGATTTGAACCTCACTTTTAATTGTGTTTTCTGATTTGTTTTGATGTTATCTCCCCGGCACAGCAGACAAAAAGATGCTAATTGATTTACATCACTGTGTAATGAGTCTGCGTGTAACTCCTCAACTTGATAAGGTGTCTTTAAACAGGTCACAGCGATTGATATGTTTGATGATCTGTCATAATGTTTTTAAAAGACATTTACAAAATGTTATTCCACCAAGTGGGACTGAAGTTGCATTGAGATGAATCTGGGGACTGTTAATCCACTGGGAAACACTGAAATTCATTAAACATCAAAGCGGCTGCCAATTCTTTTTTGTTGATCTGCTATTGCCTCTAAATAAAATCTGAAGCATGAGCTTCCCTCCAGCTTGGAGCGAATTTCCTCTGTCTTGCCTTCACTCACGCATTGTGGGATATCATGTGGGTCACAGTTACTTATCTAAGAGGACACTGGCCCATTTTTAAGACAAGTCACATGGCTGGAATAGAGAACCTCATCATCAGCCACAAGCCACGAGATCACAAGGAAGAGCAGAAACGGGGGTGTCAACAAAGGCGATATCTGAAGTAATAAGTGAGTCATGGAATAACATGGATAATCTGCTCATTAGTGACGCTCTATCATTTCTAAGGATGCCTGAGTGTCAGAGGCTTTCATCCCCTCTTTTTATGATGTGTATGACTTGCATAAACTCCAAAATTAGACGTTTTAATAATTAAAATGATGAATATTAATGATGCTCTTTGTTTAAATGTTACATCAGGCATTGCATCAACAAGTGTTTGCCCACCCCTCTGTCTCCTTCTGTCTCCCTCCCTGTATTGGAAGTTCAGCCCTTGCGCTCAGTAACTCTTTTGTTCGCCAAAGCATCCTCACATTGCTACATGCCTGACTGGAGACAGTACTCACCAGCACCTAGTTTCTATCAAGACAGGGAGTGTTTCCTTCCCTCACACTGAGGACTCAGGAGAGTTGGAAGCAAATGAAAAAGGATGGTTTGGCAGAAACGGGTAAGTGATATCAGCACCACTGTGGAGTATTAAAAGCAAGAAATTCTAGTTTCCTATGGCTGATGATAATTTTCACTCATATCTCTTAATGTATTATTCTAATTATTAATAAACTGTGCTCTGATACCCTTAACAGATCCTAAACAAAGATGAGCTCCAGCACTATTGTTGCTACTAATTCCTTACAGTGCATTTCTGGCATGCCTGATCGTAAGGAGTCCAGTTGAGCCAGGGGATTCTCATTAATACCTCCACTGTAAAGAGCTTTTATTGAGAGCTGGAACTTGAGAGCAGTGAGTGGTTATCTGAGCTCCAGAGGGATGTCTCTCCGGAGGCCATCTGCCCACCAACGAAGCGCGCCAGGCTGGAGGAAGTCAGGAGATGAGTCCTGCTGGGAGAGCTTGATATCAGAGGGGGAGTACTTGCCCCGTGTTTCTCACCCCCCATGTACACGTCGGCGGCCCCAGAGTGCCATCGAAGGAGGCCAGCTGGACGGCTGGCTGGAGCACCTCCAGAGGATGCAGAGCGACCCCCTCAGAGCTCCAGTTCACGATCATGTTCCAGTTTTCAATGCTCGGACAACATCCATGGCAACGCTCGACAGAGAGCAAGCAGGACGTACCTGGAGGCCTCGGGGGACTCCATCCTACAGCAGGGCTTCATCTTCATGCGGAAGTCCCAGTCTGTATGAGAGTTCACTGGGGAGCCAGGAGTCCCTCCAAACTGGTGTTTTCCCTTCTTCCGAGCGCAGGGGAAGCTGTGAGAGAGTTCATATCATGCAGGCCCCGAGGAAGGAGCAGGCTCAGCTCAGTTATGTTGCTCCGGTCAAAATTGGGTGGCTGCCAATCCAAAGAAGAGTGATGATGGTGGCTGATGCTTGCCAAAACCAGGTAAAACAAATCCTGTCTGACAAATCCTGAGCATATGTTCGGAGAGTTTTCTAATAGAGTGCTTTCTGATTCCAAAGTTACTGGAAGTATTTATTTTTTATTTGGATAGTGTCAGGTTTCTATACTCTTATGGAAGAAATATTTTTGACCAGTGAAACATTTTCTCTTAAAGAAATCTTGTAAAACAATTTTGGTGTTTGCTCCTTAGGGTAGCACTCTCATAAAACAGGCCTTTGCAAAAACTGTGGACTGATTTAACTTGGATTTGGCTCTGACATCCTCTCAGGCTGTGCAATAAGTTATTGACACAGTGTAAGCTCTGCAAGTTTGTAATAAAAGCACTATGTGATTGAGGTGATGGTGCATATAGTGTCAGGTTAGGCAGACTAACACACATAGTACCACTGAGAGCCATTTGTAGTGGAGTCTCAGTTACCGAGGGAGCCCTGGCATCCTTAAAAACAGCTTACTCTGCAGGAACTCCACACATTCTCGAAAAAAGGTTTACGACTCATTTGAAGCAATGGCGGCAGAGATTGAGCTTTGTGCCCTGAGAGGAACATACAGAGAAAACTCAATGGGCGTATTACCCAGTGAACTGACAATATGTCTTCAAAAATCGATAAGTTCCTGTGCTGTACTGGAGATTCGGCTGAACGGATGTACAAAGCACACCCCCTCCCTTGTGACTCTGAAAATGTGTTGAGATTTGCTTTGGATTTTCACCACGGAAGCTTCAGCTAATGGATTTGGATTTTTTTATGGTTGTTTGTTCCAAGAAATTAAGAGAAAGGGTTTTGAGAAAAATGTGGAAAATGCACTTTCTTTGAGTTCTTTGAGATTAACAGTGTCTGTAGCCTACGCTAAATATGGATTTCATATTTTTTTTATTTTACGATAAAATAGTTTTATAAATCAGATCAATTATGAATGAATTTGTGAACTTTGCAGGTGATGGATATGTTTTGTTACTGGAACAGAGACAAGCTACCTGTTCCCCTGTTTTTTGGTCTTTACCTTACATGAGAGTGATATCGATTGTCTCATCTAACTCTTGGGAAGAGGGTGACTCAGCCTTTTCCAAAAAATGTGAAAACTATCCTTAAAATTTCCACGAAGGAAAATTCAACCTTCAGGTAACACCAAAGCAAATGTAGATCCTTTAATATGCCCTTCTATTTCCTACAGGTAAAACTGAAACAAGCCATCACTCCAACATTTCAGAAAAATCGAACTTCATCCAAGGTCCAGGGTAAGTACTGTGGAGTGAGAGAATAGTCTCTGTCACTTTACAGCTGCCTGTTTAAGCCCTGAGTTTAAAACTGAAGATATCCTCATACTTTCAACAAATGCACAAACATGTTGGTGTGATAATTATGTAAGAGATCTACCTTTAAGCCATACAACATTTAAAGTAAATAAACCTTCCCAGGAAAACACAAAAGCTGCATTTCAGTTGATGTTGAGTGCCTCATAAGCACTAGAACAAATATGGCCGCAGGGTTACTGCAGGGGCCGGGTTCGCCCGAGGGGGAACAGGAGCCTATTTCAGGGCTGACTTGCCACATAGTTTACCTGCCTCTAATCTGCTCCTTGCAGCAGTGTCGCCCCCCATCCTCTTTCAGATGCTCCACACCGACTGTCTGGATAATCACCTTATAATCACTAAACAAAGTCCATTTCAAGTACAACTGTTGTATTCTATGGTATTCTGGCAGGGTTGGGGAAATGGGCTCTATTAGGGCCTGAGACGCTGACAGAAAGCAAATGCGAGGGGAGGAAAAGCAGGAGGGAAAGATGCAGACTGATTTGAGAAGGTGCCCTGTTAATGTTTGAACACAGCAGCCGCAGACTCCCCGGGTTTGATCTGAGGCTTGATCTTTCAGCCTTGTCCTTGTTTATACATAGATTATCCTGGCAAGGCTGTGGCAGCTTGCAGAAATCAAAGCAATCCATCCATGGCGGTAAGAAACTTTGATAGTAAATGTTTTTAAGAATCCTTAGTCTGAAGTCACATGTTAGACTATTATCACTTATTATTGACCTCCTCTACAGAGTCTATATTTTAGGTAAGACTGTTTTCTACAAATCTTTATGAGCCATAACTCAATACGTCTGTTCACCCTTCACATATCAATGAATAATTGATACAAAAGCAACTTTGGCTTCGCATTTGATGCACAATCTCAATTATAAATCTCTCTCTCTAGTCATTCAGATGTGCGAGGAATATTAATACTTTCAGATACTTCACAGTGAATAATGATGCTCTGCAGGTGCATGTAAACACCACGGCTGAAATCCCTGCAATTAGCAAAAGAGAAAAATATCAACAAGCAACAAAAAAATCTTCTGCACAGGACTGCTTCAAGAATCTTGTTTTGATGCTAGTTGCTGTTGCTCAGCCATCAGCATCTGAAACCAAATGAAACTTTCAGAAATTCCAACAACCACAATTGACTCAGTTACACTCCAGCGAACAAATTACACACAACCCCCCCCATTCTCACTCTTTTTCTCTCTCCTTCTGGTTATTGCTGACAATCCTTGTGAAAGTAGTTTTAATCAGACGTGTGGTTTCATCTCAGACACTTTGTGGCCTCACCCCCTCCATAAAAGTTAAATTTAACAAACTTAAAATAGGCAAATGATAATTAAACTGGCTCCAAGGGCCTTCGTGATCCAACACGCCGGCCAATTTTCACTCTGCTCACACTTACTATTTAGATAAAACTCGTGAGGATGAGGAATTAAGTGGGTGGGTGGGGACACGAGTAGGTGTTTGCCATATAGCCTAGCTTCTTTACTTTCCCCTGGGATATTTAGTTCGGCTGTTATTTAAAACAACTATGTTTTTGTAAGGAGAGAAGCCCACAGGTTCAGATGAGACATACAGTGATGACAGACAGGAGTCCTCTACAGACACATCCTTTTTTCTTTTTCACCTGTAATCACATTTACAGAGCGGTGCAATTTTTGCCTCATCCCTTGTCCCTTAAAAACAAAAAGAATGGATTATCTGCACTGCATCCCAAAAAAGAGAGCCGGTCTCCATGGTAACAAGAACAGGTAGAAATGCAGCCAGACAGGCAGTTGGGGGGGCAACAGAGCACCAGTCAGGGCTGAGAAGCAGACCAGTCAAGTCGCCCTGTCTCCAAAGAAGTGGCTCTGAGGTGGTGGGGGTGGGGGTTGGTGGTGCTGGGCTCACTTTACTCTGCCAGCGTCTGTTATTGACAGTGTCAACATTGTCATACAGTCAGAGGGATGCCTGTGTGGCGTGTGTGTGTGTGTGTGTGTGTGTGTGTGCGTGTGACAGAGAGCATGTCTTGTTGGAAATGTGACAGTGGGTCATTTGTTTTGCCCTGATACACAGATGGAGAGGTAGAGGGAACTCACGCCAGTCCGAGTGCTTTAGGTGTGAGGACGTCGCAGCTGACAGCTGATCGAGGCTCTCCTGTTATCAAACAGGTAACTTATAACACTTGTGAAACTATATAGATAAAGTTAAATGTTATGATTGTCACAGTGCTGGTACTTCTTTTAGCATTGAGCTAGGATAAACCAAGAGATAGTATAAGTATATATAGTATAAGTTCAAACATTCAACAGAGAAAAGTTTTTGTGTTCATGTATATTTAATTTAGTTTCATTTTGTGTGCCTCTTGGACACTCATAGTATGCTTACATGATTTATCTGAAGAGAAGGTTTAATTTATATCAATAAATAACCATTTATATTACAAGCCATATTTAAAATCTTAAGGGAGGGATTAGTAAATTATGAGGATGCGCTGACCCAAGAGATCAAAGAGGAAACATTTTTCAGACTGCTGGGTTTAAGTTAAGTAAATACTATGGAACTTAAAAGAGTGGCTGTTAAATTAAAGACATAAAAAGCAGGCTCTATAAAATGGAATGAAAAAAAGAACATCAACTGTCTGATGGTAGAGACGTCTTTGTTTTATGGATCATCACAGATATCAGAGCGTCTGTGCTCTTTAAAATGTGTTTCCTGTCTCAAGTGCCTATACGAATGCAAAATGAGCAAGAACTTGTGCAGATCACAAAATTTAAATCTAACCTGCTGTCTGGATTTTCACTGTCTAATTGTTGCTGCCAATTGTTATTCGAAGGGCAGATTTATGCAAATATTCACGTAGCGGTTTACAGTTGGAATCTGTAGGATAAAGAAATTGTTTTTCTTCTTTCTCTTCTTGGTACATTGCATGTTGTTATCAGCTACTTGTAATGGTTTCAGACCTAAAGGTGTTTTTGTAGTAAGTAATAAAGTAATAAATGCCTAGATCTCATACTCTGCTTCCAAATGATTGATTGCTGGGATGATTTATGCAACCTGATGAACTGAGGTATCTGGGGGAGGGGGGGTGTCCACACTCAAAACCCTGTTGGCTATTACAACAGGGGCGAATCTGTGTTTATCCACAAACACCATCAGAATCCTTTCGCCCCGGGACCCAGAATCTTTGCTGTTTTTGCATCTCACTTTCAATCGAGGCATAGAGTCTCATTGTTATTCTGTGAGGGATAAGTCACGCTGTGTGCAAGCTTTGCCTGCTGCTACTTCTTTTGCTACTGGGCCAGTCACTGTGTCAAGCATGGGGAGAGTCATCTGACTAAAGAACAAACAGCAAAGCCCCGAAGAAAGACAGCTGACCCGCTGCTGAAATGTTGCCTTAGAGAGACGTAATTTGTCAATATCTCATGAGGTTTTGCTTTTTTTGTGTTTGCAACTTGCAAACAGCAGCTCAAATTGGCAAGTGAATGTTTTTATTGTGTTGATTAATATCAAACCATTTAGCATGAGATATATTTGGGGTTGGGGTTTTTGTCCGAAGTTAAGGATCTAATCTTTCTTTATCCACATGCTATAGGTGCCAGAAAAACAGAGCTGTCCTGCTAACGAAGGGAGCAGACCACTGGGCTGGCAGGCTCTGAGGCGAGGCTGGAATACTGTCAGGGCGTCAGCTTTCCCTGGATGCAGTCGGTCCATCGAACTCCCCTCGGGGACCAGCTCAGATCCCAACGGGAAGTCCCCTCCGATGAAAACAACAAGCGTACAGACCCTCAAGTATGCTCCTCTGCATCGAACGACTTCTACTGAACCCTGCAGACCGCAAACTCTTACTCAAGGGACAAACAGCGCTGAGGCATTCAAGCCCCATACTTCTTCACATAAGACAAACAGTGCTCAGCCAATAAGGGCAACAGCCCCACTGCTCAGATCAAACAGTAGCTTGCAGCCCACGCACATCCAGACGAGCTCTGCTGTGACCACACTCATCCCTCAGAACAAAGCTGGCTTCTCCTCCATCACTATATCTTCCAGGAAAGTGAGCAGATCTGCCAGTCTGCCCAGCTCCAGTCGCTCTTCCCTGTCTGGTTCTCCGCCCCCAACCCTCCAGTCCATGGATCCAAACTCCAGCCATTTCACAGTGCAGAGGAAGGCCACTATAGTCAAAGTGACGGAGCAGAGGGTGATATCCAGCCCTGTCCCAAGCATAAAAAGTGCAGGCACACCACCAGCGAGCCAGGGTTTGGACACAGTAGTCCAGAGAAGAAAGGCTACCATCATCAAAGTGACAGAGCACAGGGAGAGCTACAGTCCAGCCAAGGTGGGATCTGGAGCGAGGCGCCCAGAGTACAGGCACAGCTACACAGAAGGAGCGTACAAGGACAGCAACACACGGGATCAGGGAAACCATTCACAGCACACGGCAGGGCCATCGTATCACCATGTGGAATCCACAAAGAATCCAAACCCCTCTGTAGCTCCATATCCAGCCACCTCAGATCTAGAGAAAAATGGTGGAACTCTGCACCGGTCAACACTGAGCCTTTTTGTGAGCAGCCCTCCTGCCATAGCATCGCCCACTCCCTCAGAGGTTTCTCCTAAAGCTGTCAGACAGAGATCGGGCAGGCCGCACAGACCACTGAGCTGCTATGGCAATGTGTTCGGTCACACCGAGCCAAGCAGGGAGAATGTGACGCGCCAGCCTGCCAGGAAATGGAGCTTTGGGCTTCCACAAGAGACCGATACCAGCCCTGTGAACCCCAGCAGTCCTTTCATCAGCCCTGGAATGGCAGCGAGAGAAGCAGGTCAGCTAGTGGCACACACCCTCACACCAAACAGAAGCAAGGAAGAAAGAATGGCGGCACCAGAGGCTGCAGCGAAGAGAGCGTCCCCCTGTCTGACTCTCATCCAGGCCCCTGGTAGGTTCCTCTGTCCCACTCTGACAATCTTCTTGTCAGCACACACAGGCTCCCTTTGTCTCTGATCTCCCTTTTCAAAGCACTGTATTGTCTAAATATTCACTTCCTTTGTACTGTTTTTGTGTTCTGGCTTGAAGTTATTAGACACACTGCAGCACTCTGTGGCTGAGCCCTCAGGTTTGATATTGTTTTTCACCTCTGATGCCTTATTGATAGGCGTTATTAGTTCGCATTGAGATGAATCATCGCATGGTTCCTTTATCTGCGGACTCGAATGCAATCGACACTCACGCCGGAGATCCTTGCTGTTGTCAAATAACATCCTCGAGACACAGAGGCCCCATCAGCTCCTACAGACGCTTTCTCACTTTTTATATTTTCCCACGCACCTCTTTGCATGCATAATCTACTCCAGTGCGGCTCCTCACTGGCAGCACAGAGGAGGCAGAGAAATCACAAACGACTAAACACGATGGAGATAAAGTATCAGGACGTGTTGGAATACATTTTCCACATGGGTTTTTGTTTGGGGGAAATAACACGGTGCGGATTAAGCGATGGTGTCAGAGTTGAAATCCAGTCTCAAAACATGATCTTTTGTGTATGTATGAGTATATGTATGTTCCTTATGTATAAATGTGTATATATATGGTATTTGTATGTATGCGTGTGTGAGTTAGTAAGTAGATTAGTATTAAGTAGTAGTAAATATAGGTAAAACAGTCATCTGCTGAATATTCAGGTGAATTGATAAACGAGGAGGGTGTTTTCTGCTGAATGAGTGTTTCTGATTTCATGACGTCTTTCCTCTGTGTGAAATTATTAATTATTTTTTAATCACATTCATTAAGAGAATCATCAATTAATTACTGAGGCCTGAGGCAACATCATTTAATTTTCAATGTTTGAGGGAGTCAGCCTCCAAAATGCGGCAGGACATTATGTAACAGGGTTAAAATCTGTTGGCGGCTGACAGAGGCCAAGTGGGCTGCTTTTTGTGGTGGGTCAACAGCAGCACTGGTGGATCTAAGATTTTTCTAAGTCAGGGGTCAAAAGCCAGGCCGAGGTTTTGAAATTTGTTCCTTGCTATATAAATGTTTGGATAAATTGTTATTAGTATTATTAGGAAGTGATTAATTTATTAAAAAAGACTATTGACAGGACAGACTCCAGGGGCCAGTGCCCTCCTGATCTATATGTGGGTTACTGTTTTTACTCCCTCTTCAGTTACATTAAATATCTCTTGTATTTCAGATCCCAGCTCACATCAGTCTCCAGAGGAAGTGCTCGCACTCAACGCAGCAGCCGTCATAGCAAACATCAAACTCCAAAGACAACTCAGCAAGAAGAAAACCCCAAATGGAAATCCTGCAAAGGACTCCACGCCATCACCCCTGGGAAATACTGGTATTATTACTTCTCTCTTTCCATCAGAATTTTTTCTGAACGTTGCACTTTGCTTTCAGGGCTTTAATCTTTGATTAAATCAATACTGATACAGTGAAATTCCTTGGCTCTTGCATACTGCGCCTGCTTGGTTCATTCCAAGATGTAATATTTGATGGCAGGCCCAGAGGGCTGTTGAGCAACTGTGTGTTGCAGAGTCTGGCATGTGGGGTCAAACCAGGTGTAAATGAGACCAACACAAATCAAATTTTTCTCTTCCTTAGTAGTGACAGAGACGAGCATGAAGACACATCCTGATCGAAACCCTGTCCAGCGTCACAATACGCAACATGCTGCTTTTGTTCCGCTGAGTGTTGACCACGAGACGTCACGTAAAACCGTTTCTCTACAGGTGAGTTCTCAAGGGACTTTTTTCAGACGATGAAACAAGGAATTCAGGATTTCCTCTCGAAACAAGAACGTTAAGCAAATAGATATATAGAAACTAGACGGGTACTCTGTAGAGTGCATTCCTCTGCCAAGGCCCAACAGTGTCTTTATGAAATTACATTTAAATTCATTGGATCCAGATGAATTATTCTCTGAGAAATCAACTTTGTGAAAGAAAGTGAATGAAGTTTCCTGGATCCTCACTGAACCTTTTTGGATTGTTTTCCTGGCATCCCTTTACCAATTTTTGTGATAGTCCACCCAGCAGTTTTGCGTAATTCTGCTTGCTACCAAAAAATTACTTAAAACAACGAAAAGTCTATTTGTAGCATATCAGTTTGAATATATACTTGATAATGACTTTAAAAAATGCAGAAAGTTAGTAAAGTATAACTATTGTTGTAGCAAGAAAATTATGCCTTGAAATTCCTCTGCCATGTCAAGTTTGCATTGATTAGCATGTTCCTGGTTTTGTCAGGAAGCGCTGCAGAGGTCCAGACCAGACTTCATCCGCCGCTCCCAAGGCCGACAGCAAGAACTAGAGCGAAGGACGCAGGAGAGGAAGAAGTGGGTGGTTTCGGTCAACGGTCGATCAAGTGTCGCTACCAGGCAGAGAAGAGCCCACAGTGTGCAGTCTACCTCTGTGAAAGGTAGTGTACCAGCAGCCACCCTCACACATAGTGCCTGTGCAGCTGCAGGGACTATTAACCTCACATACAGATGCAGAGAAATACATTGAACCCATCTCCTGAAACCAGAATGCTGAGTTATAGATGTTTATTCACTCAATGACAAGCTAACACTGCTTTAAGATCCTTTACAGCTATTAAGCACAATTATTAATACACAAAAATTGCATAGAAAATCACAATAAATGAATATAATGGCAAATAGACAGAAAATAATGTTTTATATTCAAATAGAGACAACTGGCACACCAGGTGGAGCTCAGACAAAAAATACAAAAAATACTTTAAGTACGATAAGAAACATATTGCTTTATTGCATATTCAATATATTTATATTTATATGTATATATATAGTGAGCATGTAGAGTGTTTCTCTATTGTATAATAATATTTCTGAATGATTGTGAACGCCGGGTCTCAGTGGAAATAACTTCAGTGACATTCAAATGTCATTGAACTCTCGATGCAGTGTTTCAGTGTGAAGAGATTTCTGAGCTTAATTCAGACCATGGAGAGTTTAAAGATGCAACTGAGACATTTTGTAGCACTCTCTGCCCTCTAGTGGCCGCAATGGGAAAAATGCACAAGTAGGTCAATGTCAGCTGGGAAAGTGACAGATTTAGACGAGGCCAGAGTCACAAGATAAAGATTTCATAAGTTTGTATCAGTATGACGAAACCATTTACTTGTTTTAATATTCAGGGAAGTAGAAGAGTTGTAATTTGTGCCTTTAATTAAAATAATTCTGGAGATTCCAATATGATATATTTTTTTCTTTAAGAAAGCCTTTAAGTCATTCAGTGTGTGTCTGTGTCTGTGTGTGTGTGTGTGTGTGTGTGTGTGTGTGTGTGTGTGTGTGTGTGCTCTCTTGTGTCCAGATAACCCTGTCAAACCTAGAGATAGAGTCATTACTGGGAGAGAGACGCATCTCGGATCCAAGCGGTGAGTTCCATCTCAATCTGTGACCTCGTCCTGCTGTCAGACGCTTCCTCTCTTCAGCGAGTTTCATCTTTATCTCTGGCATGTTGAGCAGAGCCTGTATCCATGACATCTCCCATTCAAAATCAATGCTCTTTTTTTCTCTGCCAAGATTTTTGCTAAATGATTTTATTTTCTTCCCTCTTCCTACACTCCGTTTACTTTCCTTCCTGGAAGATCCAGCTATTGATCCGGAGGATATGATATAGCTTGTGGATTTATAAAGAATATAGTGTTGCATGTTGGTGGTTATACTAGGAAGGGATGCATGGACAGTGAATGACTGTATCCCACCATATTAAAACATTCACATGCTTCTATGAAAGCTCTTTTTAAGCGACACAAGAATTTGGATGATCAAGTGTGTCATTGTTCTTTTCCAGCAGCCTCTCACACCCAAACTGATTGTTTTTGTTATAGCAGGTTTGCAGAGGTGAAGAGAAAAAAGGATGAAGAGAAGAACAGGGAGGTGTGTTTGACCAACAGACAGCGGGTTGAACTTTTCAAAAAGGTAATAGAGAAAGAAGTCATTTTTATATACACACACACACGCATACTCATATAATTCAAACCCACAACATTTACCTTTTTCATTCTTATGGAGAAAACCCACTTACTTCAAATATCAGACAATTGACAAATATTAAGATACTTAAATATACAACTGGAGCAAGATGACACAAAATACACAGTATATGATAGTACACTATAGCATACATGTATATAGTAGTCAGGTGCACAAGATAAAAGACAATAAAACGGTACAATTAAATACTACTACTAATAATAATACTAATAAACTGATTTTTCCTCATCACGGATCAATTAGTTATTTTCTGAGAAATCAATGAAAATATCACAAAACACCTTAAATCATCACGTTAAAGAAAAATCCTGGATCCACCCCCTAATCCAGATCTGCACCAAATGTATTTGGTTCTTTCTTGACCCATACCACATCTTTCTACCAATATTCCTTGTGATCTGTAGTTTTTTCCAAACCCAGATGAAAATGTATCCTTCTTGGCGGAGGTTAGAAAGCGCAAGACCACAACACCACAATCTGGCTCTACTGAAATGACTAAAATAATATGAGAAGGTTTATTCTTCTTCTATCACACTCACAACAGGAGAAGTAACCGACTCTTCTGCGCCAGTGGTCATCTCTTCATAATAAATCATCGTTCCTGCCTCTCCTGCTTTTTCTCTCCTTATGTTATATGAACACATGAGCAGGAATGATGCCCTGAATCAGCAAATACTTGAAAAATAAGCAACAATGTGAAAACAGCTCGCCATAGTTTTAAAAAGTCGCCTCTGTACTTCCGCCGAGATGCTGAATGGAAAATTAATTGTGTATATGACCCACAGGCAATTGAGCGAGTAATCACACACCTTTCTCCTACAAGCCCAATTAAACTCTGCAAAGGGTGAAACATTTTGCAATAATGACCAACACTAAAGGGCTGCAGTAATAATGCAGCTTTTCGTCTCTTCACAGCAGCACGGCCGCTGAAAATAATGGCTTGAAATTGCCCATCAGCTCTGGTGTGGTTAATTGAAAAGGCTGGTATCGAACTGGAAGCACGGGACTGAACTTAGATGACATTTGTATGTGGTGGATGATGGTGCATTTGTTTCCTCTGTTGAATATCCAACAGAGCCTTCTGTTTAATCTCCGGCTTACGTATATTGATTTGAGTCTTTATCTGCTGTCCTGATGCTTTGTCTGAAGCACGAATTCACATATTTATCAAGTATATATAGTTTTTGTATCAGTATATATTTTAATTGTTTCTCCAGTGTATGTTCAAGATCGTAATCAAAGTCACACAATCCTCACAGTAAATTAAAAAATGAAACTTAACAAATAAATAGATCTTTTTAATACATCTTCTGATTGATAATAACTGTAGATCTGCAGGAATATTTTGTTATGTGCACTCATGCTGCTGTTGGTAATAGAGGTTATTGATTTTGTATTTGAATTCTGACTTACTCTTAAGGTATACAAATGAAAAAAGATGGAAAGGTCGGTTGTTTTTATGCTATTTTTACATTTATATTTATTATTCTTTACCCATGTTACATTTAAAGGATTTGGGGTTAATCCTTGCTGTTCGTTTTTTATTCCACTAGAGGTCGCTGTTGCCAAACATTTGCTGTTTTCTTGCACCTCTCCCAGCAGTGTGATGAGAAAAGCCTCTAAACAGAAAAAAGCACTTCACATCTATTTTCATCAAGTGAAGTGTTTGTGTGTGTGTGTGTGTGTGTGTTTTTGTGTGTATTTTTTATTCTATGCTAAATAATTATCACAAGTTTTATTCGTCTGAGTAATTGCACTCGCTCTCGTTCACCCCCCACACCCCACTCGCTCTCTCTCATTATGTCGAGAAACTGTGAACACTCGGCCTCATTGTGCTGAGAGTATGAGGCATGTGTCCCCTGGGGAACAAAAGGCCCTTCAGTGGCGAGAGCTACGGTGCGGTGCCACCATTCAGCCGAGCCGCAGACAGACACGGCTGCTCCACCCACACTGCTGCTGTGGCAGATAACACAGGGGGCGATGGGCCCCTGCCAGAGGGCCCAGCAGGCCCTGAAAGACGAGCTGGAAACCTGAAGAGTGTGGGTGACGAGAACTGTGATTCACATCTGAGGCTTGGAGATCACGCGTGTGTGTTTGTCTGTATTTCAAGGGTTTCTGTGTCACCTGTACCCATCGTTCTGCCCTACTTGTTTTAGTAATCAGACTATTTCTGTTTTCTTTTTCCAGAAACTGTTGGATCAGATCCTCCAGAGGAACAGCAACTGAATGACAGGCGATGGCTCGACTGCAGCATCGTGTAACTGACTGAAGATGTGAACTTTGCCTTTTAACTGAACATGAGTTTAAATATCAGTGTCAGCAGTGATATCACTCGAGCCCTTTTGTTTTCCTCTTTCGTTACCAATGCATTTGTGATACAGAGCTGAAAAATCTGTTCTTTCTTTCTGAACAGTAAGTGCATGGAAATCTTTTGAAAAACTGGAAGGTCGTCTAACATCAATTACCTTTGTTTTGAAGAGTTTTTTTCTCAACTTCTGTCCAAAAACAATATGCTCTTTAAAAAAAAAACAGTTTTCCTTGTTGCAACAATACTTTATGCTCCACAACAAAAGATGTTTGGCCGAAGTTGCATATCTCCTTGCTCATTTGAATAGATAAATACCTAATGATACATTTTGAAATGGTTGTTTATGCAGAGGAGGTTTAAAGGATCTTCTAAAAATACCTTCAAAACAATTATGTGTTGTCAAACGACCATTTGGGTGCAGATTTCCATCCTCGCCATTCTTCGGACTGGAGTAACAAATGAATATGGTCCAGATGAGTGTATGACATCATGTATCACCACTGACACTGATGAACAGACTGACTGATCCCACTTTGATGTTACATCCACAACAAAGTCATTCATCAGCGTTATCTTGTTTTCACTCGATTGTAAATCGCCATTCTCTCCAGAATACTTAGTGTAATGGGACGCAGAGGAACCTCTGGCTGCACGATGAAGCACTGATGTCCTCACGCATGCATGCAGCCACTTTCACATGATCTCATGTGATGCGAGGCAATGACATAAGACAAAATAATTCATTATGCTCCGCTGTCCCATCCAGGACAGTCTTCAACCGTCCTCATTATGCAACCAATAAGCAGACAGATGCCTGATGTGGGCCCTGCTGTCAATAGTGCCAGCTATTAGCAGTAAGATGGAGGAATGTGACCCCTTCTCACTGGAAATGCTCCGTTAATGGACAGTGGAGTTTTGAAAGGAGCTTTTGTCCCATGATGGACAGCGGACCTGCCACCGCAGATTTAGATTTGTGTGTTTTGATCCAAAGTGAATGTGCTGCTCGACAACATGATGGAGCTGGCCATAAATCAAGAATGAGCCGTATGAATATTTATTTTTCGGGAGCCACAGACAACACAGCAGATGCTCTCTCCATCACTCTTTGCTGTTATTTGACTCATTAGCCTTTAAGTTGCAGCTCTATCACAGTCCAGCTGCTTCATCCGTCTAAATTTGTACTGATGTGTCGGAGAAGAGAGACAACTGCTAATGACTATTTTTGTAAACCTTATTTCATGTCTGTACGTATCAATGTGTGGGTGTATTTGGACAGTGGGTGTCATTATTAACTGTTTATTGTTTTCTCTATTTAAAGATATAATTGCTAAGCAGTCTACCCGATGGTGACAAAAAGATGGTTTTACTGTGAAATGTGATATCGACATGACAGAATTCTTTATACTTCAACTTTCTATTTTCTATTTTAATCAAATTATATGTATTTTATATGTGAGTCGTGTTTGAATCTTGTTTGTTAAACTTACCCGAGCACCACGCACTAAAACACACATTTTTCTCTCTGGACAAAAAACAGAAATGAGATGGAAAAACTTTCATAAAGTTGAGATTAATTATTGATCTCTCTGTCCTATAGGGCACTACGAGAAAGTTTTATTTTACTGCCTGATACTCTGTGTGACTTATCATCCCTCTCCACACATCACCTGGTTCCGAAAAAGTTCAAAAGATCAGTTCAGTGAAATCAGCCTGCAGGGAATTACTCCTCAGTGTTTTCATTCATATTTGAGCCTGAAAAGACAGTCAGGAGAAACTGAGGTTTCTGAGCATTGTGGCACTTGACTGAAAATGATTTGCTTTTTCCAATAAGACAACAGAGTGTGCTTGGCTATGAGCTGCATATTGTACCTGAAATGCTGAGCGCTCAGGAACCCGGCCTGTGTGTGTGTGTGTGTGTGCACATCTGCCTGAGTCCACCTCTGGAGTGGATCCTGAGTGGATGGACATGTGGTGCAGTGCAGAGTGCAGCACACTGAAGAGCATGTGAGCAGAGCTGTAGGGTTAGAGTCCATATGTAGCTCAATATGATTTATTGTGCAGCTCTAGCCTCAAGATGTTTTTGCTGTGAGTTTCATGTACTCTCATTAAAGTGTGTGAGTGTGTCTGAGTGAGTG